CCCCCACCCCAGAACCCCGGGCTCTCTGCTGCGCCCTTCTCTGCCCCACCCCCACGTCTGCGGTGCAGCCATTCTCCTTTGCTCCGAATCTTCTAGCGGATACAGAAGGAATAGTCACCTACATTTGGGTCCAACGGGACTTTAGTTTTTCGCTCCTGCTCCTCCTGAGGGAGTGTGCGTGTCGCCGTGAGCGCAGCCTGGGGACAATCTTCCTTCTCATCTGCTCAGGACCTGGCCGCGCAGGTTCCCCCGTGATGCTGCTCAGCGCAGGGCCGTTCTTCAGATGCTCGGGGACGCTGGGGGGACTTCGGCAGGGGAGCTGGATCGCGAAGGCTGGTGTTCTCCATGTCCCACGGCCTTGGTTGGGATCACACATGGTGTACCTCTGGAGGAGCAGAAAATGAACCCTCCTGTCTCTTCTGTCTGTCTTCACAGTCCGCTGGAAGACCCTCATCTCCCAGGTGGCAGTTGGGGACCACGCCTGAACTTGGGGCCTCATTACAGACCGTCCAGCTACCGGAGTTGGTGGAATTTACTGCAGACCCTCTTCCTCCAGGGCGTGCTGATGACACACATCCCACAGTGGATTGGGCCCCACGGGACGCGAGCCCCGTTTGTTTCCTTCACCCTGTAGCTGCCATGCGTATGGACGACATATGTCTTGGATGCCTGTCCTGCTCCAACCTTGGCCAAAACTCAGAGCCAAAATGCATGGTTGTACTTCCAACGTCCAAAGCGAATGGATGGCTCGCCTTTGTAAGAAAGAATTAAAGCTTGACCTGTCTACCTCACCTGTGTTGTAGACGATGTGTTGGTGTGACCACTTATTGACTTCATTGTCTTTTTGGTGGAGCCAGGGGGTCTTCCTGGCATCTCAGATTCACCACAACACGAGTGAGGGGACCTCTGGAGGAGGTTTGGCGCTACTGAAATGTAAGGCGTGTCTGTGGGTTTTCTCCTTCCTTCCTTGACAGGCAGACAGGCTCTTCGTATGTCAGATTCCTTTGGGTGTCAAGGAATTGAAACCCACTTATCTTACCTCCGTAGATGCTGGTTTGTTCCAGGTTTTCATGGAAGTAGACAGGAAACAGTCTACCCAGCAGTGGCCCAGCTAGACCTTTCCAAGAAGTCCACGTCATTCAAGAGTTCCCATTGCTATAGGTGGTTTCCAGGGATAACAGAGCTGCCACACCACGGTCATTTTGATCTTCTGCTCAGCAGCAGAATCCACCGCTCCTGTCTCTAGAATTCTGCTGTGGTGATGACCTGAGGGTGCCCGGGACTGAGGGCTTTCCCTAGATGCAGGACTCCTCGTTCTAAACCTGTTATAATGCTGGGCAAACTGGGGCAACTGGTCACCCTGCTGGGTGACTCTGTGATCCTGGCTCGGCTTCTGCTTTACGTTCTATAACCGGCTAGTCCTGTTGATCAGTTTGTCCAATCGCCGTTCAGGACCCTTGAATATGGGCAACCTAGAGATGAACGGCATTGGGTCAGCCACCAATCTTCAGCAAGTCAGTTGTTTCTAGAATGGTGGATTGCATGGCAATGAATGAAAACCTAGGTATGAGAAACCAGCTGTGACTACTTCCTTCAGGAGAGTGCTATGGACGGTGTTGTGTGTGTGTATATGTATGTGTGTGTGTGTGAGAGAGAAATATGCACGTACTATGTAGAATGAACCAAGAAGAAAATTCTGCTACTTAGCTAGACAGAGACTAAAAGCTAAAATCTTTAGATGGTGTCTGAGAGCCAAGGAGTTGGCTAGAAGACTTCCTGAAATTCCTTTGAACGCTAGGATCCTTTAAAATATCAAGGGCATGTAAATTGGGCCTAAGTGTGTACTTTCTCTCTAAAGTCTCCTAGATAACCTTTGGGTTCCACTCCGATAGTGTGGAATGGGACCACCCAGCTCATTCTTACCTCTGCAGACATGACTGGATCTGGGAGAGAGAAGCAGACAGTGGTGCTGGCAGTGGAGGGCGGAGGAGAGGAAGGTCGGGCCAGCCCAGTTTTTGGTGTTCATGACAAGTAAGAACAATCAGAAGGCAAATTACAGGTTCTTTTCAGGTTCGTCAAAGCCAGGCTTTCGGGATTTGTGCCATCCTGAAGCTGTTGCTGCTTGTCGGGGGATCAGGCCTCCGTCTTCTCTGCCGAAAGGCGGCCGTGCGTGTGTGCAGCGCTGGAACGCAGCCCTTGGGCACATCCCGCGCCTCCTGCCCGGTGCACCGGGGTCTTTGCCGCTCTCCTGACCCTCACTGCCATTGAAGAGATGCTAGCCCAGCTCCTGGACTATTTTAGATATTTCTTTCATTCATGTCCCCCATACGTGGTCATTGGTTCCAGGTCCGCCGCTGCATGGACGACAGTCTCCTCTTTCTCTCTCTCTCCTTGTCCTCTCTTCCACTGAGATCCCCAAATCCCAGAGGTTGAAGTGGTCTAAGTCATCCTTCTTATCTAGATCTACCTCTGATCATTCGGGATCCCCATCCCAACACTCGGCAAGGGATCGACCCGCCCTGGAGAAGGCAGCCTGTTTGGCACAGTGAGCGAGGACCGTGAGTGGTTGCCCCTGCCTCTGCTCTGGAGAGAAATCAGACAGAGGGAGCACATCTCTGCCTAGGTCTGGAACGAGCCTTGAACTGGGGGGTGTGGGGAGGGGCTGGAAGCCTTCACTCTTATCCCACCTTAGCTTCAGCTTGCTCCAAGGTCAAGTGTAAGTCACTGAAGCCTTTTCTCTGGGCCTCAGTTTTCTCATCTGTAAAATGGGAGGGGAAGGAGACATGGTTGGTCTTGAGGATCCTCGAAAGTCCCTCCCATGGGCCAAATTCTGAGCCTTGCCTGACGCAGGTGGCATCTCCCTTCCCCTTCGGCTCCACAAGCCTAAGGACAGGGCTGCCCGGAAGTCCCCTACCCGAGAGCACTTCAAAGCTGTTTGCACTCCTTGTCAGTTGCGCGAACATGAGCTTGTTAAAGGAGAGCGCAAACAGACCACAGACTGATGGCAGGCCGGGGGAGGGGACTGCTGTTTGCCCCGAGCTTGGGGGGGTGGGCACGACAACCCTGCCTGCAATTTTGACCAGTAAATAAAAACTGGGAGCTCTGCGTGGCTCGCACTGTAGGGGATTTATTAGTTTGCTTAGTGAAAGGCAAATATTAAGTCTGAAGTTGACCCGTCCTGTGGCCTGCCTTTGGCTTTTGTGTGCCGTCAGGCGCCGATCGCCGCGTCCCCCAGGTTATCAAGTTCTGTCAAAGGGTTTTTTTAATTGCTTCCCGTAGCCTTCTCTTTTTCTTCCTCCTTTGCTTACCCCCCTCCCCCTTTTACACTAACTCAGGTCTGGGTTTTAGAGAGGAGAGCAGGGTCTGGAAGCCATACTGTTCTGTTCCCCAACCGCCCATATTCCGGGCTGGCCTGGGAATTGGCCTTCCTCCAGCTCCGTAGGCCTGATGGGTCCCCTCCTTCCTCTGCCCTGAAGTTTTTCTTTAAAAAAATTAATTTATTTTCCATTGTTAGTTAGAGGTGTACAACACAGTGATTAGACACTTATATACCTTACAAAGTGATCACCCCAGGAAGTCTAGTGTCCATCTGATCCATACATACTTATTACAATATTCTGCACTGCATTCCCTGTGCTGTACTTTACATCTCTATGACTATTTTTAATAACTGGCAATTCGTAATGCTCAATCCTTTAACTTTTTCACCCATTCTCTTCCAAACACCCCTCCCACCTGGCGACCATCAACACGTTCTCTGTATCTATGAGTCTGTTTCTGTTTTGTTTATTTTGTTTTTGAGATTCCACACATACAAGTGAAATCATATGGTATTTGCCTCTCTCTGTCTAACTTATTTCACTTAGTGCATACCCTCGAGGTCCATCTGTGCGGTTGCAAATGGCAAGCTTTCATTCTTTTTTATGGCTGAGTAATATTCCATTGTGTCTAGGTACCCCAGCTTCTTTATCCATTTATCTGTGGACCTCGGCCCTGAATTCTTAATAAGTTAGGTCCCTTAATAGGACTGTTGGGCAAAGACCTCACCTCTCATTAAGCTTAACATAAACATAATCACAGACACTGGGAAAAGCTATAGATCTTGTTTTTCTAAGTTGTAAACTTTATTTCATATGTGACTATTCATACCTAACAGTGACAGGTGACTTCAGCCCGAAGCGTTGAAAGATGAGCTGCTACAGGTGGAGCTGTGAGTGCTAACGGGGGTCTGACCAGTGCTTATCTGTCCCCATGGAGTGAAACATCCAGACCCAACAGGGTGGACAGCTACCCGGTCTGTTCACTTTCAAAGTATGAGCTGCAGTGAAACCAAACTAGATAGAACAGCCTTTGTCCTCTGATTTAAACATCCTGGGTGCAAGCCAGCCTGGGCCTCTGACCTCATGGGTGGTGCTTGCTAATAGCCACCCACTGTGGGCACATTGCTCCGTGCCAGTCCCTCAGTGCTTTCTCCAGGCCACCCTGCTATCTGTCCACGGAGGGTGCATCTCACAAGCCTGCCCAGGATATCATGGTGCCCTGGCACTGCTCATGTAGTCAAGAGGTGGGAATGTTCTGGAATTGCTAACCTAAGAAACTTCCTTTCACACTCCAGTGCTGATTTTTAATTGAACTCAGCATGTTTTTTAATCCTCTGGTAACTCTTCCGGGATGAGTCTATGTTTTTGAAGATTGTTTTTGGGCACCCAGGCTGCTGAAATCTTACTGATCAATCCTTTCAGCTTTGTCTCATGTGGTCCCTTCTCTAGGAAGTCTTCCTGGATTTCTCCTTCCCTCTCATCCAGTTGTGATGCCTCCCTTACATATTCTTTTAGAGTATATGGCATTGGATAGGCACTAAAAAAAATAGCTTATCCCACCTGCCTTATAGCGGTTTTCATATGTCATTTACTGTGCTT